TATATATGTATATTATGATGTGTCCTCATCCACCTTATTCATTGGATCTGGCACTTTTTGATTTCTACCTCTTCCCTAAAATCAAAACGACCAAAATGACCAAAGATAAAGGTTTTATACAACTGAAGACACAAATAAATGCTTCCAGAACTGCTTCAGAAAATGACGAGAACAATGGGATAAGTGTGTTCAAAGAACAGGGGAGTATTCTGAGGGAGATTCATGGCAACGTGTCTTTTACGGTAATAAATTTTAAAATTGTTATGCATTCACAGTAATTTTTGATCAAACTGTGTATGTTCATTGGTTTCATGGCAAGGACTGATTTTACCAAATAGGCAAGTGTGGTAAGGAAATATGAGCTAAATCTTTAGTTCCAAGATTTTGACAGAAGTATATTTAAAATATGTGATGATAAAAGCCTTTTATCAAAAAATATTGTATCAGAAAACATTTATTAAAAATTAATGTTTCTACTTCTCAAGTCCTTTTTGAGTATATTTTGTTAAACATGGTGCCTCCAAGTGAAAGAGTAACAGGTGTAATTTAATAGTCATTTGTCATTTGTTAAGATGTGAGTGTTTGTTATAGTTCTCAGAAACTGAGGTAGGGACTAATTCAAGAAATGGATGATAAATCATCTTGCTTTCAATAAAATTGAAAGAGCACCCTGTCGAGTTGTCAGTTGATCAGTCATTTGAAAATCACCTGATGATTTCTGACATAAAATTCTGAGAGTTCAGAATATCAAATGACACTACCCTGAAACTCCATTCACATCTGTGTGTGTGTGTGTGTGTGTGTCTGTGCATGTGTACAAGCTTTCTTAATGTTAGAATCTATAAATTAGGAAAAAAGCAAAAAACCTTGATGCTGCATGTGGTCTCTTTCTAAAAATATTAACATTCAACACTGGACACATGAACTAATTGAAAACAAAACAGCTCCATTTTATCTCATTAAGATATAGTTCCAAAAATTACTTTTTTATTTAGTATGAACATTTATAATATATTTATTCCTTTGAGCAACTGTGTACCAAAAATAACCGTGATAAATCAATAATTAAGGTCACTTAGCATGTTTAAAAATTAATTTCAACTAAACTACTTGCGGGACTGGGGATTTAGATCAGTGGTTCTGCTGCCTGCCTTGCAAGCACAAGGTCCTGAGTTCGATTCCCGGTACCAAAAAAATAAAAAATAAAATAAAATACCTGCAAAAAGTATAAGAGAGTGGCCAACAAATTGCTTTCAAACATAAAACATATTATAGCAAGGGAAAATTCTATTGAGGAAGTGGAATGTGAAAGAGATCAAAAAGAAAAATTATCAAAGAGCTTGTTTCAGTATCTTTTAAAAAGGATTATGAGTAGTAGCTTGCTAAGGCATTTAGAGCACCCACTGGTTATATAATTTTAAAATTTTTAAATTTCTCTTTTAAAATATCACTATTTAGTTTGGGCTGAATGTTTCATCTTTTGCAACTATTTAAATATATGTTGAAAACTTTTATGAGAACTTCAAAAACTTTAAATTTGAAGACCATCCTCTTAGATTTTCCAAGCAGCTCTTTCTTTTTTGGTTTTCATCCCAAATGTTTCTTCTGCAAGCAACTGTCACTTCCTGTTAACCTGGCATTTTCATTGTACTCTGATGATAAATCTTCCAGTTAAGGTACTATAGTTCCATAGATAATCAGGAACTCAGAAATCAGGAGTCTTACAGTCTTGGAGTTTTGAAAGTCGGTCATATATTATACTGGAGGGTAAATGAATGAAAATTACTGAGTAACTTCTTTGAGCTAATCACTGTACTAGTGCTCTAATTATATCCTCAAGCAGGGCTCATTCTCATTCCATCCAACAATAAAACTGAACCTTGCAGATGGTTTGTTACTTGCCTAGGGGAGTGGAGATAACCAAGGTTAGCCAAGAATTCAGCAATCACCCATCTGCCTTCTCACTAACTTGAACTTTTAAGGAAAGGTTACCTTTATAGGAAGCAATTCAGAGTAAACACAGGCCACAGGCTCTCCAGACTGATTGCATACCTACCGGTGAAGCAGGGAAAGACACCAGGCTGTCCTCATCCCATCTTCACTAACCTCCTACTGAGCTCAGAAAGGCAACTGATGACTAGAAATTCCCATTGCCCTCAGCTCAGGTGGAACTGGCAAAGTTGCAAGCCAACATTGCCATAACTACAGGAGCGGAGATAAGGATAAAGGGATTGTGGTTTCTTTCAGCCTACAACACCAGTGTTAGTGATGATAGCAATAGCAAGTATACACTCATCCACTCATTTATACAAGTCACTGCTTGCTGTGACATATTAGGGCAGGAATTCAATTCACATATAATGTCGAGGTAGCGCAGTCCACTAATGTATACACTGGGTCTACAGTAAACCACATTATGCAGTAACTTTATGAAGAACCAATGTAGCAATCTTCTTGTTTTTCTTGGTCTGGCTGCTGTTTGAGAGGAGGAACTCTCAATACTTGGAGGGGAACTACTAGCACAATAGTCCCTAACTGAGTGCATTTTAAAAACCCTTCCCAATTGCTTTATTTGATTTGCACTCTGAATAATCAAACACAAGTAAACAAATTAAAATGAGTCTACTAATGTGACTTCAATAGGGAATCTACCGAATTAAAGCTGGTACTGCTCCTGTTTTATATGTGAATGCCGTCTTCATTGTGGTAGCATAGGAATCCCAGTTGGCATCACCTGCTAAAAGGACAACAAAGCATTTTTAAATGTACCAAACAAGAATATTTTAATCAAATGTTAAATTGAAATATCAAATAAACTGAAAATAATTTTACAAAAGAAAAATATTTGGAGTAATAATTTTGCTTTAGAGGCTAAATAGCCATGAAGGCCAATTGTCATGGTTTAGATCTAAAAAGTCCCCAAGAAGTTGGCAGTAGGACCCGGTTAGAAGGCGTCACTAGGGGCATGACTTGGCAGGGTATATCCTCAGTCCTGGCTCCTCCTCCTCTCTGTGCTTCCTGAGTGACAGCTTTCCTCCACCACGTTGTTTGGCTGTGTCATTTCTGCTTTGGAGCCAGCCAAAAGTAGCTGAATCTGTGAGCCATAATAAAGCTCTTCTTTAAGTTTTGGGTGTCCGATACTTTGTCTCAGTGATGAAAATATGACTAATACAGAAAACTGGTGCCAGGAAGTGGGGTCATTGTTGTGACTGTACTGGTCCATGTGGCTCAGAGGCCTTTGAAACTGGTTTGCAGGGGGAGTTTGGAAAACGAAGAAGCAAGCTAGAGAAGCCCTAGAATGTCGTAAACAGAGCTTGATGGGAGATTCTGGCTGAGGCTCAGAAGATCAAAGTGCTAATAGCAGTGTAGGCAGTAAAGACCTGGCTCAGAGGTTTCAGTTAGGAACAATCCATTGACAACTGGACTAGAGGCCATGTGTCAGGGACTAGAGTCCCTGGGATAAATGCTCATTCAGGGCTACCTAGGAAGTATATCTCCAAGTTCAACCATCCACAGGGTCTCAGAGACCACTGTAGCCACTTTCCAAAAGCCCAGCTCCTGCTCAAGCTGGCAGGTGACCTTTGTGTCATCCACTTGGTTCTGGTTTTTCGGGCATGCAGAATGCAAGAGTCATGAGATCATGGAGGCTTCTACCTTTATTTCAGAAGAATGCCTAGGAGGTCAGGCACAAAAGTGAGGTGGGGTCGTGGTCACTTCCAAGAGCCCAGGAGAGGGCAATGTGTGAATTTGTGCCAAAGGTGCAGTGGAGATCCCAGAAAGTTGGAGATGCCAGGAACATGGAATGTCTGCTGAGAAAAGCTGCAGGCATTGAACAGATTGAGAGAGGCCATGTGAGTTGCAACCAGCAAGGCCATAGGGTGAGGCTACCTAAGCCCTTTGGAGTTCGCATCTCACCACAACTTTCCTTGAGTGCTGGACATGCAGCTACAAGATTTAATGTTGGTGTCGCTGAGTTTCCATCTGGCTTTCGTCCCACTCCTTTGTATCCTTCTCCCTTTTGCAGTGGGAATGTTTATCTGGTGTCATTGTATGTTGCAAGTGTTTTCACTTTCTTTTTTATTTTTAGAGGGGCTCACAGCTAAGAGTTTTTCTTGAGTCTCAGAGAAGACCTTAGCTTTGGACTACTCAGCAATGTTTGAATTACTAAGACTTGGGTGAGTCTCAGAGATGGGGTAAATGAATTTTGCATACCGAGATGAAGATGAGACTTTTGGGGGCCAGAGGAAGACTGTAATGGTTTAGATCTAAAAAGTCCTCCAAAAGTTTCACGTGTGGAGGGTCACTGGGGAGGGTCACTGAGGGTGTGACTTGGAAGGAGGTATTCTTGTCCCCACTTCTCCCTTCTCTCTCAGCTTTCTAGCTATCATGCTAGGAAGTTTTCTTTCGCCATGCTGTTCTGCTTTGCTATTTCTGCCTTGGAGCCTGCTTGATCATGACTGAATCTGCTAAAACTATGAGCTAAAATAGCTTTCTCCTCTTTTAAGTTGGAGATGTTGCATGTTTTGGACCAGTGATGGAAAAGTGACTAATACACCAACTAAAGACTTTAAATAAATAAGAAAAGAAACTCAATTATCCAGGTTTACCCAAAATAAAAACAGGTATATTGTTTGTATTGAGTATTCATATATGCTATTTTAAAGAAGTCAAGCCTTACACAAAAAAACATGAAAAAGAAAGTAATTTGTATGAAATTCCATCTTCAGATATCCACTATTCTATTTTAATGACCAAACTGTATCACATTAGATACCCTGGACATTTTCTCTTTGATTCTTCCTCTCCTGTTGATGGCCACTCTCCTCCTTGTGCTTCCTCCACGCTAGCCTATGTAAATAGTTTTGCCTGTTCTTGCCATACTTGTATATATGCAGATGTAATCATATGCATATATATGTACGTATATAAATACATACACATGTTGAGGTTTAGTTCTCACCATTTTACTTTACAAAAATAATCTCATATTATACAAACCCTCCCTTGTATCTGTCACTAACAGTCCCTTATGAAAAAACCCTCCAATTTACCCAGTGCAGGGCTAATTCATCCTTTGTAATAACTGCAAAATTCAGGGGTGTCAACATTAGTGAAAACTATGAGAGTGGGTGATATCGTCAAGGGAGGGAGGTTAGACATTAGCAGTTGCAGAGTTTCTTTGCTTCAACCCTTTCCCCGACCCCTGGTGTCAACAAAGTACCACCAAATTTCTTGAAAATACCACAGCTATGCCTTTATCTGTAGTTTCACTTTCCAAAGTCTCAGATATCTGTAGTCAACCATAGTCAAAATTTATTATATGAAAAATTCCAATTCTAAAGTTTTAAATTGTAAACTATTCTGAGCATGATGATGGAAACTCATGCTGTCCAGCTCCTTTCTGCCTGGGATGTGAATCATACCTTCATCCAGTGGATCCAGGCTACATATATTATCCACCCATTAGTCCCATAGTAGCCATCTTACAGTATCACAGTCCTTGCATATAGAGTTAGTACTATAAATGTTTCTAGGCAACCACTGGAGCGCTTAGAACATGTCCTCTGTAGATGGATGAAAGGGATACTTCATGTACTTTAAATTTAAAGTTCAGTCATTCTTTCATTTCTTATATCTGGGCAGTTGCTGTTGCCTTTTACATTTCATGAGAACTTGGAGTTAAATGTCTCTGTTTTAACTAAATGATCCTGTCTAAGGAGCTATCATCTCATCTCTACAATATTGTAGCTACCTTATTGCCTGAGTTTGTTCCCCTTATTTATCCTATTAAAATTGCTATGAAGTATCTTTTATAATTTCCCAGTATTTCTAAAAGTTAACTGCCTGTCTGGCTTTTGGCACCCTGGTCGAACACTTACAATTTCTGTCCACTGAGAACCTCTTTATTTTCATTGTCCTGTCTCTCCCAGCCAGGTCTTGTATATAATTTAATAGGTCCTTAGCTCCAGGCAGGCAGCTGGATTTGCTTACCTATGACCATTCTCCAGTATTTTCACATAGGTCTAAGTGCCGTGTCCACCCAGAAGCGTTCCCACTACAGAACTGAGGCCTTGACCCCTTGTGTATCCCACTCTGTGCTTTGCTTCCATGACCACCTGCTGTCTCCTCTCAAACTCTACTTTGCTAGAAATGGCATTATCTTTTGAAATAGTTTTGGTAGGATCACTTTACACTTGAAAGGCTTTTATTCCAATAAATTGTTGAATTAAATGTCTTTGTGAAAGGAATTTCAACTGTGGATGAATAGGAAGACATTGAGGTATGCCGCTCTTAAAGAAGCCTTCTTTAACATCCTTGAGGTCTCTAGGTTATACTTTTGGATCAAGAAGAATCTTCAACATAGAGTCCATACATCCATTTACTGTCTTTGTCTTAAGACATTTCAGCACTAACCTGGTTGAAGTCAATTTCCTGTTAGACCCAGTGCACCTCAAAAGCTCTGGAGAAATAGTTCTCTGGGCAGCATCTTCCAATCAACCATGTGGGCAAGCATGGTAAAACTGTGTCGCTGGCTGGATCTTTCCTTTGCTGAGGCTAGGGGCAGGCATCTTGCAGCATGGATTGCTAAGTTCCTATTCTGGGGTGTGGAGGAACAGGAGCAGGGTGTCTGGCTGCCTCCAGGTCCTACAGCCAAGCAAACCTCCCTCCCTCTGTGTTAGCTAAGCACAGATCAGACACTCCTTTCCACCCTCTAATCCTAGCCTGCTTGAATGAGGGTATCTTCCTTTAATTTTGCATTCAATGCTTTTTTCTTCCTACAACACTTTGTGTCAGGGTGTACTTCCATGGTTTTGAACTCCACTGACAGAGCTTCTGAAAATAAAGCATGTTACTGGAATCAATACTCTTCATCAACAGAAATGTTCCTTTAAAAATCCATAAATACAATATTCTAAAACTATTTCCAGTGTGTCTTCTGCATGTCATTGCCTTCTTCTGCCTTTCTTCTTGGCTGAGGAGTGTGCCAGTGTCTTAGTCTATAGCTCCATGTCCCTCCCCTGTGGGTCTGTATTCCTGGTGTTTCTTCTTGTTCTCATTCTTTGTTCCTGCTACGAAAAAACCTGGAGCCTTCCCATGTTCACCATGGGATACAGAGTCCTGTTCTGGCCTTGGAAGATACACAAGCTAGTGGAGGAGCTATGTATTATGGGCATGGGTTTAAAATCGTGCTGATATCCTCTGTGTCACAGGGGCCCTGGGAAGTGTACATCTCCTTCTTAAATGAGAAGCGGGCACAGCTAGAGCAAGTGCAGGGTGGCATCTGAGCTGTGATTTAATTTTGTAGGAGTCTGACAGAAAAACATAGGAGATCATACAGTAGAGCACTCTCCAGAGGAAGTAGTATGGGATGTGAGAGTCTGAGACATGAGATATGGCCCAGGGGAAGTAAGGGCAGGGAGAAATGGGTAAGGATAGGTTGCTGGGGCCATGTGTGCCCTCCTACTACTTAAAGCCTTATTCTGCCAACCTTAGTGACCCACTTGGATGTATCCACTACTATGAAAACACATTATAAAGCTTTGAAAATATATACAATAGTAACTAGTGTATACATTGTATTATACTTTACAAAGTATTTTGACACATACTATTTTATATTCAAAATAACCTGAGCGATAAGGCAGGTATTAGTGGCATCCAATAATTCTAACTTTACAATGCTTTGAGGATTAAAGTAATCGGTGAGTGCGCAGTACTTACAGTATATGCTGAATGATGCCCCCTAAAAGATACATCCACTTCTTAAACCCCAGAACCTTTGAATCTGACTTTATTTGGAAAAGGGATCTTTGCACATGAAATTAAGGATCTCAAAATGAGGATGTCATCCTAGATTAACCTCAATGATCTCAATGACCAAAACATGATTACAGATGCCCTTATAAGAAAGAGATGGGAATATTTGACAAGAACAAAAGAGAAAAAGACCACGTAATCTCAGAGGCAGAAACAGAAGTGAAGTCAAGAATGTAAGGATCTCATCCTACACTGGTATAGCCCTGACCACACCTTGAGTTTGGACTTCTGGTATTCAGAAATGCCAGGGAATAAATTGTTGCTCTTTTAAGCCACCAGTTTTTGTCTGGTTTTGTGCAACAGCCATGAGAAACTAATGTAGCACCTAAGAGCCCAGGCTACAATCACTATTCAATAGCAATCAGTCATCGTGGTCATCAACCAATGTATTAGTCACTTTCCCATCTCTAGGACAAAATATCTGACACAGTTTAAAGGAGGAGAGGTTTATTTCAGCTCACAATTTCAGAGGGTTCAGTCCATGGTAAGCTGACTCCAAGGCAGAAATGGATAGAAGGGCAAATGGAGGCAGGCCACTCAATCTATGGCAGCCAGGAAGCAGAGAGAGAGAAAGGAGGTGTCAGGAACAACCGTCCAGGTCATACCCATGCCTCCAAGAGGACCCCCAACTCCTAGTAGCACATTTGGCTATGAACTCAATGGATTAATCCACCGATGAGTATATCACCCCCATGATCTAATCACCTTCTGAAAGTGCCACTTCCCAACATGGGGACACTTTAGATTTAAACCATAACCATCAGTTCATCCTGTTTGGGAAGTGACACACCAACCTTCCCTTTAGAGGATGATTCTCCTGGTAGGAGCAGCACTGGCTATCAGGAACTCACAACTGGAGAAGAGTCAAACACACAGGGAAAGGAGAACTTGGCAGCCAAATCAAAGGTACCTGGTGATCAAGCTGAAATATCAAAGAAACTGCCTTCCCTCTTAATTTCAGCACTGGGATTCTCTTAATGGGATTCCCCAAATCTGGAAGGTCTGAGGAGGACAGAAGTGTTACTTTGTGCATATTAAGTTGAAAGCCTTCCTATGACCTCTAAATAGAACTATCTGGTAGGTAGTTGGATGTTTTCATCAGCAAGTTCAGAGATAGGGAATAAAGAGTCCTTGGCACCTTTGTGGAGCACCTAAAGCCTGGTGGCAGGGTGTGGTCACTCATATAGAGGATACAAATTCAGGAGGGCATCTTGGAGGACTCTGACATTTCCCAGATGAAGGGAAGGGGACACAGTGGAAGAAATCAAGACAGGTAGTCAGAAAGGGAAGGGGAAATGAACAGGTATACTCTCAGGAAATCTGGGGAGGGGTTTCTCCCTCCTGTCTCTCTTTCCACTTTGACTTCATACAGAAACAGAGTATATTTGATATTTTTGTACTAATTAAGTATTTTCATGTTTTATTCTTAACTTACAAAGCAATGAATTGGAATAAAAATACACACTTCATTCATGCTCCTGGGAGCACAATTCTAGGAAATTTGCAGTTGAACAATTCCTCACTGCTCTGTAGCCAGCATGGAACCCAATTACCCAGCCAGACAGCAGCAAGGGGCCATTATTGCCAGGAGAAAGGGCACAGTGGAGCTGACTACACAGTAATCGTGTCACCAGCGCCACAGCTAGAGTGGCGCTCCCTCCACAGACACAAAAGGTTGAATTAGTAAACCTGCTGCATCTATAAGCAGAATCAGGCTCCAAAGCTCTCCATTTAGTACTCACTAAATCTCTTTGAAAGAAAAAAAAAATCTGCCCAGGTTAGAAGCTGCAGCTGAAGATGGAGGGCCCCGCCTCTGTTGCAGCCAGGTGAGGCCCCCTCCACCATTCAGAGTACCCCGAGTTTCTTAGTTCTTTCTCAGGCCCTGTATGGGGATGGGGAGTCAAGCCCAGCTTGTTTTCTTCCCAGGTTCCCCATCTCTGTTCCTTCTTTGCCTTTGGGCCTGTTCTTGGAAAAGTCTCAGATATTTCTTTTTTCTGTCTCCTCTCTGCCAGGCATTTCCTGGAGTGTTTAAAGAAGCGGGCTGGGTAGTGTTTTGTGGAGGGGGAGTGGCAGCAAGCGTAAGGGCAGTAACAGGGCAAATTTGCGAACGTAGTCATTCTCCCTGATTCTTATCCCTCCTTCCTTTGGTCTATTCACGGAGAGAGGATACACCCTTAAAGAGTGAATGGAGACCCAGTCCCGCCCCGCAATCAGGCCAGGGCCGCTGTCTTACTTGGTTGGAGCATGCGGTCACATTGAGAGGGGCATGGAGTCTTGGGCTCGACCGGCATCCTGCCCGGAAGAGACAGTCTTGAGCCGAGCTGCGGTTCCAGCATGAGTTTGCCCAGCAGGCTGCACTGCAGCTTTATGACGCGTCGCCATGGAGACGCGGGTCAGTTTCTCTGCTGCTCAGTCGCCAGCCTCGGGTACAGGTGGCTTAATCAGAGCTTTGCCGGTTTAGGGTAGTGAAAGAAAATAGGCGTGTTATCTCATCGTGCGAATACCTTGTTTTCAGTGTATAGTTTTGTAGTTCTTTCAGTGAGCTTTCCTAACCATTGTCTTCATATTCGGGAAGAGGAGCAAAATGAGGAGAGAATTGAAAAGAAAATATGTCAGAATTTGAACTGCAACTTTTCATCCATTCCTTTTTTGGGGTACCAAACTCAGGACTTTGTGCTCGTGAGGCAGGAGGCAGAACCACTGGGCTAAACCCCCGGCCCTATTCCTTTTTGAACTGCAACTTTTCATCTATTCCTAGGTTAAGCAAATGTGACAAAGTTGTCATGGATCTTTGTAGTAAACAGCATCCAAATGAGACTCCAAAAATCACATGTGATCTGGTGAAAAGGGAATTCCAAGTGGAGTTTCTATGATGGCTCCTTGCTAACAAATGAGTCATTCTGGGTATCAGCCAGCTTCAGATTACTGCAAGAAAATACCAGACATGAGCTACTTAAAAAGTAGAGGCTTACTTTGGTTCATAGTTTTGGTGGTTCAAAGTCCAAAGGCCTAGAACAAGCTTTGCAAGGGCTGCTGGGAAGGCAAAGACACCAGTGAGTGTCACATTTGGGGCCAGAAAGGAGAGAGGGAGTGAAATTTTTGGCAATCTGTCTAGAGAGCATTGCCCCTAAGGGCCTCCCACTAGGCCCTACCTTCTAAAGGTCTATAGCATCTCAATAGATGCCTTGGAGACCAAGCCTTTCAGTCACGGACCTTAGGGGACCCTATCCATATTCAAACAATAGCAATCTGACCTAAGAATTAGAAGAGGAGCCAGAAGATGGCAAGTGTCCTTACAGATAGGAAAAGATAAATGTTCATGTCACAGTCCTTCAACTTTAGTGTGTTATGACTGTCCATGTACGTGTTCTTCCAAACCCCTCCCTACCACCTCCCAAAGTATCAAGTACTCATAGGCAGGGCTTATGGAAAAAGACTGGGTTATGTGAGCACTATAACTGGCTTGGTTGAGAGGTAAGGGCTGGTGAAAAGATGTAGTCATTTTGGACATGACCTAGTAGGGCATATCTCCCTTCCCAGTAATCCCCCTCACTCCCTCTGCTTCCTGGGGCCAGGAGGTGAGCAACTGTTCCTCCACCACGCACTTCTGCCATGCTATCCTGCCTTGGAGCCATCAGACTATGACTATGAGCCAGAATAAATCTCTCCTCCTTTAATTTGCAGGTGTCAAATATTGTGTCTCAGTGATGAGAAAATGACTAAGACAATGGACTCAACTATGTCTTCCCCCTCCATGTGTATTAAAGTTATCACTGGATAAAGAGGGTCTTTTATCTTCATATTCTTGACAACTGCCTGGCAATTTGATAGAGTATGTGCTTAGTAACTAAGGAATGGCTCCAGGTTAGAATACAACTGTCACTCACTCCTGTGACAAGAAATCAGAAAGTACTCACTGGAGTCTGCTGACATCATGTTTGGAGAGCAATTTGCAGCAGTTCCTTATCCTGAAAGGTGCTATAGTAACCTAAGACCCTAGGTGAACAAGATAGTATAACGAAGAGTTTATTAGAGGAGATAGAATAGGCATTGAAGTACATATCCCACATATATACACAAGGAATATCTTTAAAACTCAGAGCTAAACTTGAATTTTCTGACAGTTGAGTCCCATCCACATGATCAAATGAATAAAACACATTTTAGACTTTCAAGTTTTAAGGCAATGAATGGTGGAACACATTAGAAGGCACAGACTTCTGTCGATGTTATTAAAAGGAATGAGTCTAAATTAGGATTTAGTAGTGGCATCTAAATTAAGAAAGTAGCACCCAATAACAGATTAACTGTCTGGAAATGGTAGAGCTAATTTGCATAGCATAATTTAAGAGAACTATATTTTTGAAATAGAACAACTATATAGAATTCTAAAAGTGAATTCTTATTAATAGTTTACATTTATCTCCTGTTAGGCAAGCTGAAATGGTGGTGTATGCCTTGAATGGAGTAAAAGCCAGGAGATCTCCTTGTTGCTTTGCCCCAGGGACCCTCAGGGTAAAGCAGATATTTCTGGGGGCCTCAGTTTTCTTACTCATAAAATGAGTATACTATAGTACCCACCTTACTGAGCTGCAGAGATGACAATCCTAACAATAATTTATCAATGATACACCACAAATCTAAGGTATCACTCTTGTGTCTGATTGCTGTTGTGATCTTCATTCTTTTTATAAATCTCCCATCTCTGCTTCAAAATGTAGTTTTGATGGGGGTTCCATGTTATTGTGAGTAGCAGAGCATGATTCTTACCTTTAGATTTTGGTTGCCTGAGGCAACCACTTTAAATGATTGAGTCGATTTTGTTTTCCTTTCCTTTTCTTCTTTCCCTCAATAAACCCTAACTCTGCATTGAATCTGAGCAGTATGGTGACAGTAAATGCAATGGTTTGGATATGATAGGAACTTGGGAACACGTTTTTAGAAGAAGAGTCCTCAAGGATGCAAAAGTCACCTGGGTGAAGAAGGAAAGGTGACATGTGGCAGAGCTAGGGCCCAGGCAACATGAACAGCCCATAGACCCCAAGGAGTGAGGATTTGTTGTTGCTATGTGAGGAGGAAACAGAGCCAGCTGGAGGGGAAGGCCAGTGGGCTGAGGAGCTGGGCTCCACCTGAGCGTGGGAGCATTCACTGAGTGAAGGGGCCAGGTCAGAAGTTTAAGTAAATCCTGACCGCTGTTCCAGCAGGAGGAACAGTCAAATTCATCCTAGATGAATCACACAGAAATCAAAACATCTAAGTTACTAATAAGTTTTGTGGGTTTTTTTGGTACTGAGGATCCAACTCGGGTCCTTGTACCTGTGCAGCAGGCGGTGAAACCACTGAGCCAAATCTCCAGCCCACTAATATATTTATTTAACAATGTTTTTCATTGGTCCAAAATAATTGAGACTAGCTTACTGAATGAATTAAAGTTAACTGGTTGTTTCCAATTTCAAGTTATTATAATAGTTGTATAACATCAGATATTATAATATTACATATTTTAATTATTAGAGTACATTTCTACACACACACAATAATGGGATGAGTGATATACTTGGGTGGTAAGGGTAAGGGCACAGCAAGCGTGGATCACTCAAATGTTTTCTGCTATAAAGAATACTCTAGGCCCCAGGGACAGAGAGAGGGTCAGAAAGAGAAAGTCATTGCTAAACACAAGAGAAGTATGTTCTTAGGCCAAGGGTAAGGAGTAGGGAAAGAGAGCTTTAAACTGCAGGAGAGAGCACAGTGATCCCAGGCTGGAGAAGCCCGATGTACTGTGGAGCTGCCTCCTGGTCTGAAGGTGACTCCTGCACCTGGCACCTGTGAAAATCTTGTGCCAGGATGCAATAACCTTAGTTACTTTTCTTGATACTGAGACAAAATACCCAAAATTCACAAGTTAAAGGTTTGGAGGTACAGGCTGAAGAAACAGCCCTGGAATGCCGTAAACTGTACTTGATGGGAGATTCTGATCAGAGCTCGGAAGACCAGAGGCTGATAGAAATGCTGCTGGTAGACCAGGCTCAGGAGGTTTCTCTGGGAAGAAGGACCGCACTGGCTCTTGGACTCCTGCTGATGTGCGTTAGGCCTTGGCAGAAAGTTTGTGTGCATTTTGTTCGTGTCCAGAGATTTTACCTGAGATTGAGACGAAGGGCAGTGAACTAATTAATCTTGCAGAAGAAATTTTAAGATAATCTAATGTTGAGCCAGTGACACGGCCATTTGGGGGGCCTTTTAGCCAGATCTATGTTGAGAATCAAAGACAAAGAGCCCAGCAGAATGATTTAAAATGTGAATTTGTCCAGAAAGGAAGCTTCAGTAAAGCTGTGGATTACAAAGATAAAGCACAGAAGAACTTGGCTGCAAAGAAGGAACCTGACAAAGGAAAAGATGCCCTGAGAACATTACAAGAAACAGCAGGATTCTAGCCTTTGCAGCCTCAAGGTTGGAAAAGTGAAAGAACTTGTTTTGAAAAGAAAGCCCCAGAGCAACATGTTCCAGAATGACAGCAGCCTAGAGAATTTGTTCCTCGGGATTGAGTTCAGAGTGCTCAGCAATCGAGACACTCTACTCATACAGCCAAGAGAGAAGGAAGCCTGGCTACTGCTTCGGCAGGTAGCAGACCTTGGCACTGCCCACATGGTGCAGGTTTTAGGTGCATGCAGAATGCAGGATTTGTGGGGTCAGGAAGGCTTCCACCCAGATTTCAGAAGAGGCCTGGGAACCCAGGCAGTGTTCCCTGAGAGGGCGGTTTACAAATCTGTGAGTGTGAAGCCAAAGATGAAGTGGAGGGCCTAGAAGTTGGGAGAAGCCAGGAATGTGGATCATCTGAGGAAGCTGCAAGGAGAGAGCAGAGCCAGCCCAAGAGAGAAGCCATGGGAGCTACAACTGTCAGCAGTGCTATAGGGTGTAGCCTCCTATAGTTTACATCTTGCCACAGATTGCTGGTTGCTGGTCATGGAACTACAGGACTTAGTGTTTGTTCTGCTGGATTTGGGGCTTGCTTTGGTCCCATTCCTTTGTATTCCCCCATCAGTACCTTTTGGAATGGAAATGTCTATCTTGTGCCATTGTTATGTTGGAGGTGTTTAACTTTCTTTTCATTTCTACAAGGGCTTATAGCTAAAAGTTTGCCTTTAATCTCAGAGGAAGCTTTGGACCTTGACTTTTCACAGATGAAACTGTCAGGACTTTGGTAACTCTTAAGGATGAACTAAATGCACTTCGCATAAAGGGATGTACATGAGTCTTTGGGAGGCCAGAGGCAGAATGTTATGACATTTAGCTAGATGTACCCCCAAAGCCTCATGTGTTCATAGATAGGCCTTTCAGAGGTGGCTAGATCTAGGGTGTGTGATGCTGGAATCAAGGGTGTGATGCTGGGATTGATTCAAGGTGTGGTTAAGGCTGCCTCACCCTGGGTGTGAGTGCTACCTGCCCTAAGCATGGATAGCCTGGACAGGATAGAAGGGACAGAAGGAGGGTCATCACTTGTTGCTTGCTACCTTG